TTGTGACGGACCGTGTAATCCTAATTAAAAAGTTTTCGAACCGTGTAATTATAACAAACATATACCGAATATAGAATTAATCATTATTCTCCTTGAAATTTCCATGGACGGTTTGACTGTCTTAAATTCCTTTTTGCTTTATTCCTCTCTTTTTTTTTTCTTAAATTGGGATACCATTTAGATCTAGAAAATTAAACAATTACGTAGAAAAAGTGAAACACATGTGAAGCAAACATAGTCATGTGAGAAGAGCCTCTGAATTTGGGTTGGAAGACTACCCGCGAGCTTGCTGCGAAGCACCTACTGAATTTTTTTGATAATTTGACTTGCTCGCTTTGAAACTGCCGAGTGAAATCTTTCGTTTCTCTGGCTTTCGACTCACAACCTGTAGAACACAGAAGACAAGAGTTAGGATCATTCAGTCCCCAACCAAGAAGACTCTCCTAGTAGCTCAGCCATCGGGTGTCTACTACTTGGGAGAGTCCAAGCATTATTTATTATTGCATGTGAGACATAAGCCATTACTAAAGGTCCAGTTATTTGAGGACGGATGGTTCCCGCAAAATCAATCAGTGGACCGAGTACGTCCAATCATTCCAAAAGAGAGTTTTAGAGCATCCACATTCCACAATGGTAGAGTATCTAAGAGGGGTTTCTAGTCTATGTAATATTAATATTTTAAAATATGTAATTATTGAATTAAATTTTAATATTTTTAAAAGAAATGGAACTAATTATAAACCTATATGTGCTATTATAATTTTTAAAGATATTTTAGATTTAGAACCTTGTTTCTTCTTTATCTCTTCTACTACTTATTTTATTTTTGTTATTTATAACCTCTATTATATTGGATATTTAGAACTTCTCATTTCCATTGTAAATGCTCTTAGACTTTGAACCTAGCTAACAGAAAATAAAAGGTTTTTTTCCAACTAAGGAGGTTTAACTGAACGCTTCCAAATACAATAGCCAAATCTCTAAAAGCTAATCTCCAAAAAGTCTTTTTGTAATTGTCAGAGCATCTCCAACCATGGGTTCTTCATGGGTTTCTCCAAATTTATAAAATATTAAATATTAATAAAAAATACTAGGTGTTGTCCCGGGTTACGTCCGGTTGTATTAGTTATAAATTTGGTTGATTTTGGTTTGAATAAAATTGTGTCATAGTAATGTTTGGGAATTTCTAGATCCAAAATTAATTAATTGTATCGAGCTATATTTTCTATTCACTTAACTTTGGCTTGTTTTTACGTGATGTATGTATGTTTCCCAAATGAAGCAAGACATGAACAGAAAATGAGCTATGAACGTACAGTTAGATGAACGTAACATTTAAAACCTACTCGTTTAACTTCGTTTAAAATTCATGAGCTTTTCATGTTTATGACATGGCTATAGTCCATTCTTTGACGTGTAACCACAAGTCTCATACTTCCAAGAAGACAACATAGATATGTAAATATTTGACTATACTGGATATTAAGACTCGACCTCAGATACAGATTCCATAACATACTAAAGTAATAAAACTCATGTAATACATGCTTATTTATATCTATGAAGAGTTTAAACATACATGTTTACATTATAGGTTAACATTACTAGTAGTATAACAACATTTCATATTACACATCCAACTTAAAGTACTTATAGATACATGACAGACTCAAACACTCGGTAGTGATCTAAAGCTTATTCTAACTGAAACCTGTTACAACAAGCTTTGGCATATGTGTTGGTCTGCACTTTTTCCGAAAGCAGAAATAAAAACCGTCACACTTTCTTGTAAACTAACCATGCATCTTTAACATAACTTAATTACCAAAATTCCTTTATAAGCATCCCTCCACAGAGTTTGACCGCCTCGTCGCAGCTGATAACCCGTCCTTTCGGCTTCTCAAACCAGTTGGCATGGCCAATAGATGGACGGGCATCACCAACAAATGGAATATGTTCCGTGGAACTTTGGTTAAAACGAGAAGGGAACTGGTCTCTAGGAACAAATGGTTTAGGGCTTATTTTCGGGGACTTACCATTAACCTTATCGACCATTTCAAAAGCCTGTTGAACGAACCTTGTATTCCTATGCTCTTGAGCCATTGCCATTGAAGAACAAAGAAGAGAAGAAAGATGTTTTTGTTTTGGGTATTTTTTTTTTTTCCCTTTGGTTTTAGTTTCTTTCTGGGAAAGAAAGGCGAAGGCCTTTATAGAGAAAAAGATTCTACTTTACAAAAGCAAAAATAATATTTTAAACAAGAGAATTTAAAATTTTAATTACTTTTCTAATGGAACATTGCTCAAGAAATTTGCATAGGAACCTTCGTTTTCTTCAAAGTTATCCAATACTCCATCTGTTTTAAAATATTTGATTTTCTAGAGTTTTCATGTATATTAAGAAAATAAATTAATGTTTAAATATAATTCATTGTTTTCTATACCAAACAATTTTTCATAACTTTATAAAAGAATTTTCCATAACATATTGTGAAACGGAGGGAGTATTTAATTAAAAAAATGTAATCCTAATTAAAAAATTGTCGAACCGTGTAATTATAACAAACATATACCGAATATAGAATTAATCATTATTCTCCTTCAAATTTTCATGTATGGTTTGAGTGTCTTTAATTTATTTTTGCTTTATTCCTTTTTTTTTTTCTTAAACCGGGATACCATTTAGATTTAGAAAATTAAGCAATTATGTAGGAGAAGTGAAACACATGTGAAGCAAACATAGTCATGTGAGAATTTGGGTTGGAAGACTACCCACCCGCGAGCTTGCAGCGAAGCACCTACTGAATTTGTTTGATAATTTGACTTGCTGGCTTTGAAACTGACGAGTGAAATCTCGCGTTTCTCTTCAAGATAACCTCGAGTGTGGTGTTTACAATTGATGTTCTTACCCATAAGACTAGAGCATCAAACCAGATTTCTCTTGCAAAGTTGGATCCACGAAATATGGGAGCTTTCGACTCACAACTTGTAAAACGCAGAAGACAAGAGCTAGGAACATTCGATCCCCAACATAGGAGACTCTCCTGGTAGCTCATCCATCGGGTGTCTACTACTTGGGAGAGTCTAAGCATTATTTGTTATTGCTAGAGTTCCAGTTATTTGAGGACGGATGGTTCCCGCAAAATCAATCAGTGGACCGAGTACGTCCAATCATCCCAAAAGAGAGTTTAAAGCATTCACAATGATAGAGTATCTAAGAGAAGGTTCTAGTCTATATAATATTAATTTTAAAATATGTAATTATTGAATTAAATTTTAATATTTTTAAAAGAAATAGAACTAATTATAAACCTATATGTGCTATTATAATTTCTAACGAATTTTTAGATTTAGAACCTTATTTCTTTATCTCTCCTACTTTTTATTTTATTTTTATTATTTAGAACCTCTGATATATTGGATATCTCTCATTTCCATTGTAAAATTTTCTTACACTTTGAACCTAGCTGAGAGAAAATAAAAGGTTTTTTCCAACTAAGGAGGTTAACTGAACACTTCCAAATACAATAGCCAAAAGCTAATCTCCAAAAAGAGTCTTTCTGTAATTGTCACTTACTTGATCTAGGAAATCCACAAGGACCCCGTAGAAAACAAAACCAAATAAGCTAAGTCCAATCAATAAGTCACTTTAAACCCAACCCTCCAACTTTTTTTTATTTTTACAGTTGATCTGATGTCAGGTTTTATCCTAAAATCTAAACAATCCAAAATGTGTGAGTGTACAACAAATCAATAGTAGTATTTTAACTCACAAGCACTTAAAATGTACAATAAGTAACCTTG